CAAAGCACAGGGACCGCAGTTCAATCCCCCAGCACCACATGCCAGCCAGCCCCGCCCCCTGGTGGGCTGAGCTGGCCACACACACACACACAAATAAACAAAATTAAAAAAAAAAAAAAAAAAAAAACTCCAAGCTCCAGTTCCACCAAAAAACAAACAAAAAAAGAAAGAAAGAAAGAAAGAAAGAAAGAAAGAAAGAAAACAACAATAAAAAAGAAACTAGCCAGCCAGGAGGAGACATGTTGATCTGGGACAGGCTACAGGCCAGGGCCTGCGCAGTGCCAAGACAGTCTGTCAGGCATTAGTGATCCCACAGCATTAATGTGCAACTATAACACAGCCTACAACTTGGCTCAGGTCTCTGAATCTGAACACTCCCAGGAGGCACAAGACTTATGACCTGGTAGTCCATTTCTTCCTGTCTGCTATACAAAAGACAAGCATTCCCAAAGAGCAGAGGCCCTCAAGCTCCAAATCTCATCTCTCACGATTTTTTATATACTAGATGGGTTACAAATAGGGTGAAAGAGCCGGGGAGATGGCTCAGTGGAATAAGCGCTTCCCCAGTAAGCTCAGGGCCTGAGTTCAATCCCTGGTTCCGCCAAAGAAATTAAAAATAAATAAAACAAAACATTAAAAAAAAAAAGACTTTTATCCACTATCACAACCCCCCATGTTGTGTTCATAACAATAATGTAGTGTGCTATTATATACTAACTCATCTAACCACAGGCTCATTTTGAGCTCCCTGCCTGAATCTACCTCAGACTCTCTATGATGTCACAAACACAACTGTTAGTAACAATACTATCAAAAGTTAACTCTAAAGCAGGCCTAGTGCACAGGCCTATAACCCCAGCATTTGGGAGATTTAGGCATGAGGATTGCTACAAGTTCTTGGCCAAACAGGGCTACATATGTGAATTCAAGGCCAGTCTGGACTGCACAGTGAGACCCTGTCTTAAACAAAATAAAAGTCAACTCTAGCCAGGTATAACAGCATATGCCTGTTATTCTGGCAACTTAGGCGGCTGAAACAGAAATATTCCAAGCTTGAGGCTAGCAGAGACAACACTATGAGACCTTGTCTAAAAATAAAAAAGAGCTGGGATGTAGCTGAGTGGTTCAATGTAACATGAGGTCCTAGGTTCAAATTCTAAACCCCCTGACACATAAAATTTAACTGTGGGAGCTACTTTAGCAATTATAACACTAAAGTTGTTTACTACTTAAATATTCATTTACTAAGCAAAGGATAATCTGCTGCACAGCACACACTTTTAAGATAGAATATTTAAACTTGGGCTGGTGAGATGGCTCAGTGGTCTGGAGCACCTACGTAGAACAAGCTTAGCAAAGTACGGGGACCGCGGTTCAGCACCACATGCCAGCCAGCCCCGCCCTCTGGTGGGCTGAGCTGGCCACACACACACACAAATAAATAAAAATAAATAAATAAATAAATAAATAAAAATAAATAAAAAAAGAATATTTAAACTTATGAAGAAAATAAAATAAATAAAAAAATAAACTTACGAAGGCTGGGTGGAGGTGGGATCATAGCCCCGGCGGGGGGAGGAGCGGAGAATGGAGTAGGAGGTATCTTTCCTTGTTGAAATGCAGCCGCTTTGGCGATGAGGGTGTGGGGGGGAAACAACAATAAGTAAGAATTCAACAACCTATTTATTAAAAAAAACACTTTCTTTTAAATTTCTAACAGTTCAAATAACTTCACTCAGGTAAATAATCTAGTCATTAATGGTTCCATAGTTTTAAGTCAATCTTAGATAGTCACCTGCTAAAATTGCAATGAATGTGTTTACTGTTTTAGGTTTTCAAAGTTATCTAAAAAATTAATCACTTAAGAGGGCCAGGGAGATGGCTCAGTAGAATAAGCACTTGCCTGGCAAGTGCAATGGCCTGAGTTCAATTCCCAGTTCTGCCAAAAAAAAAAAAAAAAAAAGATACATCCCCAACAGACAGGCTTTTTTGGGGGGCGGGGGGAGAGGAGGCACAGGGTTTAGCTACACAACAGCTCAGACTCATAGTGACCCTCCTGTCTAAGCCTCCCCAGCGCTGTTGTGTGTCACCATACCCGTTCTCAGTGGCCAGCATGGCATGTAGTATCAGGGAATGGAACCCAGGTCCTTGTGCTTGCCAACTGCCAAGCTATCTCTGCAGCCCTAAGTAAAATTTTTAAAAGCTGGGGATGTAGCTCAATGTGCATGCTGGAATTAATCTCTAGCACTATTAAAAAAAATTGAGGGCCGGGGAGATGGCTCAGTAGAATAAAAAGCTTCCCTGGCAAGCATAAGGGCCTGAGTTCAATCCCTGGTTCTGCAAAAAAAAAAAAAAAAAAAAACAAAATAAAATAGTTTTTTGCATATGAAAAATACTCAAATACACTGTCAGTCCTTTAATGCCTGGAAATGTTTAACATCTTTTCAAAGAGGATAAACAAGAAAAACAGAAAGGTAGGTGCAGTGTGGAATACCTGTAGTTACAACCACATGGGAGGCAGATGCAGGATCCCCTGTCTCATACCAAGGGGAGGCCAGATTACATCATAATTTAAGTTTTTCAAGTAAAGTGGGTCAATATCTGAGACTTTATACTTGGTAGAAAGGGAATAAATTAAGCAAATTAAAGTATTTCAGTTGGCAAGATAGCTCAGCGGACTAAGCAGAGCCATCTTCCAGAGATAGTCTCGATGGTATCATTTATAATGACAAAACTCTGTAACAACTTATATATCCAACAGTAAGAAAATGGTCAGGTAAATTACAAAACATTCATACCATAAGTTACTACTCTGCTATTAAAAAACAATGGAGGGCTGAGAGTACAGATCTGTGGTAAACCAGGTCGTCAGCATGCATAAGCCCCTGGATTTGATCTTCAGTATTGAAAGAAAACAACAACAACAACAATAAAAATGAAACTAGTCAGCCAGGAGAAGGGGACATGTTGATCTGGGACAGGCTACAGGCCAGGGCCTGTGCAGGTTTTTGATCCCTAGTACCACATGCTGTGTCGGCCACTGACTGGATGTGTTGGTGCACACTTGTAATACCAGCGCTGGGAAGGCTGAAACAAGAGAATCACTGAGTCCCAGCTACGTAGTGAGACCCTGTACCAAATACATTTAAAAAAAAAAAAAAAAAATCAGGGCAGCCCACCACAAGAAATAATTACACAGCCCTAAAATCAGTAGTGCTAAAGTGGAGAACCTTGGTGTAAACTAAAATGTCAGTACAACCTAAAGTAAAAATGTAGCTTCTGTCAGTGCCTTGAACCCAATCAGCCAGAACAGAATGTAGGGTTCCAAAATGTATCCCATCAATTTGGTTATATCAGTTAGTTTCTTTTTGACTAGTTCTGTCAGAGCTACAGACAAGAAATCCAAGTAAAGGTTCTTAAACCCATTTCTACCTTTCCTTATTACAGCAAATAATCTAAAAACTGCGGATCATTACTTTTGTGTGTGCTACAAATGTGATTCACATTAACAGAAAATACCAGCCAACTCCATTCTTCTCCACCCCACCTCCCAATCTAACCAACACCTGATTGTTCTGATGGCTTTATCCCCAATAATTAATATTAATGTATTCCTATATTCTTGGGAAAGCAGTGACCTTCCACTTCTTTCTTTCAACGTGGCAAATACCCCTATTTATCATTCAGCATTAGTTGCTTCAGTGGAAAACAACAGAGACAGGGACGTGAAAGAATGGGACCATTCTCTACATGAGAACAAGAGACCAAAACATACTTGTTTTGTCAATCAGGCTCTGAGCTTGCTCTTCCATCCATTTTTGGTAGTAGTCTTTCACATTCTCTTTATGTTTCCTACCACTGCAGTGTGTCTTTCTCACAGACGGCTGTAAAACAAGAGCATTCCATCAGACACAGAAACTAGACAGTTTATAAAGCTGTACCTTTATATAGGTATGCCTGGCTAGCTTTGGCTGAATGCTGAACATAACCCTGCAAGACACTATGGTCATTTACTTTCTAGACAAGGAGTCCATAGCTAAAAAAATAATTCTATTTATATTCAAAGACTTGCTTTAAAACACATAGCTGGGGGCTGGGTAGAGAGCTCAGCAGCTCAAGTGCCTGCCTGTCAAGTGCAAGGTTCTGAGTTCAATTCTAGGTACTGGAGAAAAAAAATCTTTATTTTTATTTTTATTTTTTTTTTTTTCAGTATTGGGGATTGAATTCAGGACCCTGCACTTGCCATGCAGGCACTTATGCCGCTGAACTATCTCCCTGGCCCTGAAAGAAAAAAAATATCTGTGAGATAAAACATAATTGATAAACAGTAAGACAGGAGAGGATCTTAATTATCTACCTATCTCCCTAAGGGACACCTGATTAGTGCTTCTGCAGTAGATAAAACTAATGTTAACAGCACGGGGCATGGTGGTGTACCCCTAATATCTCAGCACTTGGGAGACTGAGACAGGAGGATTACCATGAGTTTGAGCTCAGCCTGGGCTACACAATGAATTCAAGGCCAACCTGGAATATACACTACTTAAGACCAAATTAAAAAAAAAAAAAAAAAAAAGTTAGACTGTCTTTTCTAGTCTGTATTTCAAAATATTGTTCATCAACCAAACCACTGCTTATATTTGTTTTGTTTTTTTAAGACAGGTTCTCACTATGCAGTTCAGGCTGGCCTTGAGCTCACTTTGTAGGCCAGGCTAGTCTGGTCTTGAACTCTAAACAATCCTCCTGCCTCAGCCTCCCAAGTGCTGGGATTACAGGTATGCAAAATCATGCCTGGCCTTCGTTAATTTTTACAAGAACAGAAAATATAAAAACAATTTAATCAAATATATTCAATAGTATTACTCAGCTATAAAGAATGATAAACTCAAAGTCTTTATATTGAAGTGGATGCCACTTAAACATACAAGTGAAATAAACCAGACACACATGTGTAAATATCGTATAGTTTCCCTAGTATAAGAACTACAAATAGGGGCTGGAGAGATGGCTCAGTGGTCTAAAGCACCTACTTGAAACAAGCTTGGCAAAGCACAGGGACTGCGGTTCGATCCCCCAGCACCACATGCCAGCCAGCCCCGCCCCCTGGTGGGCTGAGCTGGCCACACACACACACACAATAAATA